ATCACCCCCGATGGCCTATATCAGTTCAAGGTCATGCCCTTCGGCCTTTGTAATGCTCCATCCACCTTCGAACGAATGATGGACTCCCTGCTCAGAGGATTCAAATGGTCCACCTGTTTGTGCTACTTGGACGACGTCATCGTCTTTTCACCAACATTTGAAACTCACATAGAGCGCCTCTCAGCCATTCTGGGAATCTTCCGTCGCGCTGGCCTGCAGCTCAACTCGTCCAAATGTCACTTTGGACGCCATCAAATCACAGTGCTTGGCCATTTAGTTGACCCCAACGGTGTACAACCAGACCCGGCAAAAATCAGCGCGGTCAAAAACTTTCCTGTACCACGATCTGCGAAAGATGTACGCAGCTTTATCGGACTATGCTTCTACTTTCGACGCTTCGTGAAAAATTTTGCGCACATAGCGAGGCCGCTTACGCAGCTTCTCAAGAAAGAAGTCCCGTTTTCATGGGGCTCCGAAGAGGCTTCTGCGTTCTCGACTCTCGCCGCTCTTTTCACTACCCCTCCGATGTTGGCACACTTCAACCCTGCTGCCCCTACGGAAATTCGTACAGATGCAAGTGGGCATGGCATTGGTGTAGTGCTGGCTCAGAAACAACATGGCCATGATTGCGTTATTGCATATGCCAGTCGCCTCCTATCCGCCCCTGAACGTAACTATTCGATAACAGAGCGTGAGTGCTTGGCTCTTGTTTGGGCGGTGGCGAAATTTTGACCTTACCTATACGAACGCCCATTTTCGATAATTACCGATGACCACGCACTCTGCTGGCTCAACTCTCTGAAAGATCCATCAGGCCGCCTTGGTCGCTGGGCTTGGCGCCTGCAAGAGTTTTCCTATTCGGTGGTCTACAAATCTGGCCACCTACACCGTGATGCCGATTGCCTCTCTCGGTACCCTGTCTACGATCCTGAGGACACTGATGAGCCCACGGAGAACTCTATCTTGTCAGTGTCCGACTTTCTTAATATTGGGGAAGAACATAAGCGTGATCCAGAGCTGCTTGACATCATCAGCCGTATGGAATCCTCCACAAATGATGCTTCCATCTGCTACTTTGTCATTCAAAAGGGTATCCTATACCGTCGCAATTTCCGACCAGACGGGCCCGACCTTCTCATTGTTGTGCCTAAGCATTTGCGCCGCTGTGTTCTCACCGAACTTCACGACGCTCCCACGGCTGGACACCTTGGCGTATCCCGTACGTACGAGCGCGTCCGGCGCCGTTTTTTCTGGCCAGGCCTTGCTCGTTTGGTACGCCGATACGTTGCCACGTGTGACCTATGCCAACGTCGTAAAACATCGTCGCTGCTACCCGCTGGCCATCTTCAATCAATTGATATACCCGCGGAACCATTTTACCGTGTTGGATTAGACCTGCTTGGTCTTTTTCCCACATCAACATTGGGAAACAAATGGATAGCCGTTATTACAGATTACGCTACACGCTACGCTATTACGCGAGCTCTATCAACCAGCTGTGCAACCAACGTCGCTGACTTGTTACGGGACGTTATATTGATTCACGGTGCTCTGAAACAGCTTCTCACAGACCGTGGCCGTACATTTCTATCCCAAGTCATCGCCGACATTCTGCGTTCTTGTTCCATGCAACACACACTGACAACCGCTTACCACCCTCAAACAAACGGCCTCACGGAACGATTTAACCGCACTTTTACAAATATGCTCGCTATGTACGTGTCGCCCGACCACCGAGACTGGGACCTTGCCTTACTCTGCGCAACTTTCGCGTATAATTCATCCCGTCACGACAGAGCGGGCTTTTCGCCGTTCTACTTATTGTACGGAAGAGAGCCGACTTTACCACTGGACACAGTCATCTCAGCTCACACCTCGTCCACCACCGAGTATGCCCGCGACGCGATTGCGCGAGCCGGTCATGCCCGTCAGCTCGCTCGCGCTCGGCTGATGGCGTCGCAAACCAACCAATGCCGTCGGTACGATGCGGAACATAGAGACGTACATTTCACTCCCGGTACTCTCGTTTTACTCTGGTCCCCTCATCGTCAGCTGGGCCTATCCGAAGAACTTCTGTCTCATTACATGGGACTCTACCGTATATTGCGACAAGTAACACCTGTCACTTACGAGATCAGCCCCATCTGTCCATCATCATCTACTATGCGGCCCAGTGATATCGTACACGTCTCGCGGATCAAGCCCTACAATAATGCGTCAGATAACGACCTTTAAAGCACCGGGACGGTGCCTCTGCCGCTGGGGGTCATGCTACGTGCCAGTGCATGGAGCTGAAGAAGACGAAGGAGATAGACTGGTGCGAGCTAATCTGTGTGGCTGGCGCTGCTCGCCTAACCGGCTGAAAATACATCGGTGACTACCCCTCTGAGTCAGTCTCCTTCCCATAACAATATTAAAGTGATCTTGTGTAAGAACCTTTGAATGCCACCACAGGAGGATTAATCTGCCTAACTTCACGAGTGAACTTAGTTATGTAATACTGATATCAAATTCCCACTCCACTTGTACTAACGTCATTTTCCTATTCAGCTTTTGCTGACTCCAACTGTAATCACTCCTTGAATAACACCGAAGGTCGTAAATAAAGCAGTGATCGCTTTTATTTTTCATGCCTTGGAATGAGACGTTTTGAAACTGGTCAAGCTGTTCCTTGAAATAAAAAAACAAATTGTGCATCTTTTCGCAATATTGTCTCATGGCCGCAACATTGACGAAAGTAGCAATTGGCATTCTTAAAACTAAACTTTTGTAGTGCGGTAGACTTGTGGCTCGAAAATAAAAATACATGCGAGTGATTCACACTGTAAACTAATAGTGACGTGAACGGTCGGTGGCCATTGAGTAGTCTTATCAGTGGTAAGGTGCGTCAGCATTTATGTGTGGCATCAAACATTCAAGTCTTATGATTGGCGGCTATGCTAGTTTCGGAATATATTGTGTGGTTCACATTTACGCGCTCAAGTAATTGGCAGAATGCAAAATAATCTGAAAGGGGCTCAAACATTCGTGCACCGTTTGCCAAAGGCAGTGGTTGTACTACTTGTAATAAACCGGTTACATAGAAATACAAAAAGAGGCTAGCGTGGCAATGTTTTATGTAGATGTGTCTCTGCTAACAGGGTGCGTACAGGTCCTTGAAATCCTTGAAAACCCTTGAATTTAAAAACTGCATGTTCAAAGCCTTTGAAAGTCCTCAAATCTTTTGCCATCCTTAAAAATCCTTGAATTTTGGGAGCAGTGCACTCTCATGTCAACATCAAGACCTCCTAAATGTGGTAGATTCGTGTGTCGACTTGTCAAGCTCCTCATTCCCAAAACAGTAAGGTGGCGTGGGTGAACATGGTCCAATTTTACAAAAGTGCATGTGAAAAAAAATTCATGGCGAGGGTGAAGCAGTGAATGTGATAGCAAGAAATTAGAATGTCACTCGAAGAAGGGAAAGCAACTCTATACATGCGACGCGCTGCTCAAGCACAAAGGACACATGAAAAAAAGAAGGGCACAGGACGAGTGCTGATGAACAACTGTTGCAGCTCACCAAGAATGATGCTAAAAAAGAACACACATGTAACCATAGGATGAGTGTATATTAACCACTGTCACAGTTGTTATTTCTTGGTTGTTGAGCAATGTACTGCAATTGTCAACTGTGCACAAGCCAACGCTCTTGATGGGGTGGTGTCATCAAGTTTCAAGGCTACAGCAAGCACATTGTGGGTTTTCTCTATTTAGGCAAGGACACTCCACATGAATGGCGGGACTTGTGAAACATTTAGAGTATATTTTTAAGTCACTTCCCAAGTGTACCTAAAGGATCAACCTTCTAATTGAGGCCCATTGCGAGCGCATCCAACACTGACGTAGCTCTATAGGAAGGGCAGGCAACAAAAGTTCTAGTGACGTCACACCTGATTTGTAGTGAGGTGAGTGACCTTTGGACTTCTGCCATGTGCGTTCTGGCAAAGCATTGCAGCTGCTGCAGTGAGCAGTGTGTTGCTGGTGCTTGTGTGGCATTTGTGTGCGAGAGCGGACGATACTCAACATGATGGGTGCAAAGCTTTGCGATCACTTGACTAAGTCAGCTACACTGCTGCGTACCTGCCCAACTAGGTGCCCACAAACAGGAACTGAAAATTGTCCATATCAATAAGGCAATAAATTATTTAGCTGGAATAAATGAATCTTGGTGCATCTATCGTGCTTGTTAGAGCTATAGTTAGCGCTTGCAGCAAAAAGCACGCAAGCCGCAATTATTGTGGCACCACCCCTTTAAGACCTGGCAACACATACGCTATGAAGCCCTTCAGTGCATAACTTTATGACGCGGCATCATGCTCTCCCCTATGGAGTGTGAGGAAGAGGGTGCAAGAAGGTATTAAGACTTGAGTTTTTTTTATAATTGCAATATCTACATATTTATTGTAAGTGCATTAAAATTGGTAATTTCTGAAATTTTTAGAGTGAAAAATGTCAACTTAGCATGCCACTTTGAGTCCTTGAAAAACTTGTAACAGGTTCTGTAAAGCCCTTGAATATCCTTGAATTTTCGCTTTGGAAACATGTACAAACCCTGACTAATGCCGCATATGCCACACACACTTAATGGAGTGCATTTTAGAACAAGTAGAGCACAGCACGTCTGAGCCCACTGTGCCCACAGACACTACAAAAATTAGTGCAGCTTTGCAATGTTTAATATGGCTGAAGCATAAGCACACTGAAGATACCTTTCAGCCATCTTGTTGGCAGCATTTATCATCTGGTAGTTGTGTATTTGGTTGCTTTATGATTATGTATTGAGTCTCTTGGGGGTTTTTTGTTTGTTTGTTGTTTCTTTAACATGATTTTGCAACTCTGACCCTGCATTGCTACCTCACTGGGAGACGTTCCGGCCTTTCACGTTTATTTGACGTTGCTTCCCTCTCTTGTTTTTGCTGGACTGTGGAAGACTTTTTATTTTTTTATTTTGTTCCTCCCAGGTCAGAAAGAGTTGGTGTGCGCCATCCTCTATCTCTGTCAAGAGAATTGTACATGGAAGACAGTTGTTCGAGCATTTCCAAAAACTATAAATGTCAAGGAGGCCGAGATCGAGCGGCTGGAATCAATGGTATGTGCCTCTAAGCCACAGGTCAAGCGATGCCTGACCTGTTCTGGCTTTGAGGTTATGGAGTCCTGGAGGAAGAAACATCCACAGCATGCCACAGTTCAACTGCTACTTAAGTACCTGACCAGTGAACGGGTCAGTCCTAGGTATGCGGAAGACATAAAGAGTGACTTTCACATGACCATGACTGTAAGGTCAAAGTGCCTTTTGTGTAAGACAGGATGTGAGCTGCAGGCACAGCGTGGCGAGACTGTCTCAGTACAAATTGTCTGTGCACAGATTCTTAATCGAGACATTCGTGAAAGATCTTGAAGGTTGTGATATTTTACGATGTACTGTGCTCATGGATTCAAACGCAACAATTTAAGGCTGTGTAATGAACATACTTTTTTTCATTTTCATGTCCATCATCAGCAGCAGCAGCTTAATTACGCCCACTGCAGGGCAAAGGCCTCTCCCATGTTTCGCCTACCCGATCCTTTGTCTTCTGCTGCCCTGTTATGCCTGCAAACTTTTTAACGTCGTCTGCCCGCCTAGTTTTCTGTCTCTCCTCTTATGCATTTGCTTTCTCTTGGAATTCAGAGAGCTGCCCTTAATGACCAGCAATTATCCAGCCTACGCGATGCATGCTCGGCCCACATTTATTTCTTTTTCTTGATCTCAACTATCATAAAACCAGAAGATAGTTAGACCTCCCAAACTTTGAATCTCCGAAAAACAAAATTTTAGAAATGGCAAAGCATCAGGGCACACCCTTACATTGGTAAATAAGCGACACAACCAGCTTCACTGTGGTAACATTTTATTTTGTTTAGACACTAATCTTATGTAGTTAAACAGCAAAAGGCCACTAAGTGCTGTCACTCAGACTCATTCGAACTTGAGTCCGACGAAATCTGTTAAATGCGAAGCATTTCTTAACGAACTTCGGCAACTTTGAGCGTATCTATCTAGCCGCCTACGACTTTTAGCTCTCCTGGACATTTCGATAATAGTATGAATACCAAACTTGGTATAGCATAACATGACTGTATGAAAAACATATTTAACTAATCATAACATGAAAATCATGACGTTTGTCATGAACGTCATGATTTACATTTCATGGTCCTGCAACTCTTGCAGTTGTTTCGTTCACATGGCATGTTGCAAAACTGGTATGGTATGACATGATTGATTGGCGAACACAAGCGACAGACCCTCACGTGAAAATCATGACATATATGTCATGTAACAACATGACTATATGCCACGCTCATGATTCGCTCGGGGCCGTTTCGCTGGTGGCACATATACCAAATTTGGTATTACAGTACATGAATGGGTGACGAAGGTATGTGAATGGTGCAAACATGATAATCATGATACGTGTCACGTAAAAACATGACTACATGCCACACTTATGATGCGCTCACGGCAGTTTCGCTAGCTTCATATATGCTAAATTTGGTATTACGTGATGCCAATGGATGACGAAGGTATGTGACTGGTGCAAACATAATAATCATGAGATGCGTTTCATGTAACAATATGACTACATGCTACGCTCATGATGCGCTCGCGGCCATTTTGCTAGCTTCGCATGTATGACATTCAGTATTACGCGACACGACCGGACGACATAGGTAAATGACACATCCAAACATGATAATCACATGCGTGTCATGTAACAAAGTGACTACATGCCACACTTATGATGTGCTCGGGGCTGTTTCGCTAGCTTCACATTTGCCAAATTTGGTATTACATGACGTCAATGTATGACGACGGTATGTGACTGGTGCGAACATGATAATCATGAGATGCATGTCATATGAGAACATGACTACATGCCACAGTCAAGGCACCAATACATTTCGATGAGACATGGTGCGCGTGCTCGCCGGCGTTGCCACGCCAGGCGCCGCTCTTGCCATATACTCGCAGGCACGCGCCACGCTGCGTTGTTCTGACGCATGCGCATTTCAGCGCATCCGGGCACCAGACAGAGTGTCCCTTCGTCTGGTGTCCCTCCATAGTGTTGTCTGGGTAACACATCGGCGCAAAATGCAGCATGTCGGGTTTAGTGCCGGTTGCCGTCAAGCCGCCCCGACGGATGCTGGTTTCGGCGGTTGCGTCTGGCGTCAGACAATAGAGTGCTCGCGTTTCGCTAGCGTAGCCTCGCTGTGCCCAACGTGCACGCGCGTCAAAGCTGCATTGGAGTATGTTGGGCCCTTCATGATGCACTCGCGGCTGTTTTGCTAGCTCCACACATACCAAACTTGGTGTTACAGGACGTCAATGGATGACGAAAGTATATGACTGGTGCAAACATGATCATTCTGACACACGTCATGTAAGATTACGACAATATGCCACGCACATAGCGTGCTCGCGGCCATTCCGCTAACTCCACATATACCAAATTTATATACCAATCATATATATACCAAATAGATGACGAAGGTAAACGATACATTTAAACATGATAATCATGACACAGAAGTCATGTATGGCATCATTTACCTCCATCTCATAAGGTTGTGCTGATTTCATCGTGACATATCAATCTTTCTGATTCGTGCTTTGCATATGATCGATTCCTACTGTATGTGGGATCTGTCAATTTTTCTTCACTGTTAACATCCCAGATTGCATCGTCCTCTATTCCATTAAATGCCTTACTGATGCAGCGTTTGCGGAAAGATGGAAGTACGCTGCCTCAGCGCAAAGCCTTTCAATTTCAATAAATCGGCGCACCCATGATGGTAATCTCTTGAAGTCGTTTTACATGACATGCATGTCATGTAAAAACGGGCCACATGCCATGCTCATAGCGTGCTTGCAGCCATTTTGCTAGCTCTACATATATTAAATTCGGTATCACATAATATGATTAGATGACGAAGGTGAATGACACGCCCGAACATGATAATCATGATTTTTGTAATATGTGGTTTGGACGGAGGCGCAGGGCCCTGCGGAGGTCGTTGGGTGCTGCGAGTGCCAAAGCGCACCTCCAGTTCGCGTGCGGAGCCACACTACCGCTGAGATCGCGGGGCGCGGCGAGTGCCAAAGTGCACCTTTCGAGCTTGCACGGTGTTCAATATATGTGAAGGCGGGTAAAAATACCGTTCGATATGAACGTGCCAATTGGTATGCTTTTACGAAGGAATTTTAAAGGGATTACTTGCGAGTTCGTGTTGTATATCTAGTACACCAAATGGTTCAGAGGATGGTGCACTATTCGCCAGGCTCTCAACTCGCTTGCTGGATTCCGGGTCGACCGGTTGTGCGCTCGCGCGCTCCGGGCGCTTACGATCTTCGGCGTCAGCACGGCTCTGGCCGACTGGGCTCGCCCTACGTCACCTCCTGCCGCCGCCGACCTTCGACGGCAGTGTAGCTCTGACCGACTGGACTTGCTCTACGCTATCTACCGACGCCGAAAGGAGCTCTCGCAGGTGTGCCCCGTCCTCGGACTACAGTGACCGTGCTCCCATCTTTCCTATCTCTTCTATCCCCTCAGTTTGTCGTCGCTTGCTCTGGCTTACCACCTCACGTCTTTTCCTCTCTTCTTCTTCTTCCGCTTTCCTACACCTTTACTCCTACCCCTTTTTATTTCTTCTCACCCCCATCTCTTGTGAGCTACTGTGGAAGTGTCGCTCACTGAAGCAGACAGTAACGGGGCTCACTTTTCTCTTCCTTTCTCTTTTAAGAATCACTTATCACCAGGCTCTCTGGCATCAGTGATATCTCGCCAGAAGACTCTGCAGGGCGGGTGCGCGAACTTAACTTTTGCGTCCAACTCCGAGGAGTCGCACCCCGCCGTAGTAGTCTAGTGGCTAAGGTACTCGGCTGCTGACCCGCAGGTCACGGAATCAAATCCCGACTGCGCCGGCTGCATTTCCGATGGAGGCGGAATGATGTAGGCTCATGTGCTCAGATTTGGGTGCACGTTAAAGAACCCCAGGTAGTCGTAATTTTCGGAGCCCTCCACTGCGGCGTCTCTCATAATAATATTATGGTTTGGGGACGTTAAACCCCACAAATCAATGAATCAATCTGAGGAGTCGTTTGACAGTGATGAGGGGGAATAAAAAGACTTGTGAATAAAGCATTTCATCGGAAATATGGATGGGCATTTTTTGTTTTTAGCCATTTTCCTGTCATCATCTTGAATTTTGGTTCGGGGCCGAGCAAGAAACAGTTCAAGGCACTCACATGGAAGTTGAAATTTTACTGTGTTCTCTTGGTAGTGTTGCTGTGGAAGCATCATTAAAATTTGTCAGGAATTTATGCTCGACACCAAGCGAAGTAAATCTTGCGGAAGGCCCACTGTCACTGGCCTAGCCTTATTAGGGTGTTTAATGTTTTCCTAAAAAACAATAAACCTCTCCTTAAGACGTTCCACTTTCTTTAGTCTGTGCTTATATGTTAATTGGGCTCAAAATGGACTCCAGTGAAAACTTTTGTCAAAAGCTGAGCAAACATCCCCCCCTGCGGGGAAGGATAAACCGACCAGATTGGTTGGTGGGAAGGGGGCTGCTTTCTCTGTTGAAGGTGGCAGGAAGGAGAGCCAGTATGAAAAATAAAAAATGCACATACTTGTTTCTAGTGAAATGGTTTATTTATTTATGGATAGCGGAACTTGATAAACAACGTTAGATATAGCATTCAGTGTACTTATTCTTGTAGTTTTTTCTACAAAAACGACGCTTGTCTTGAAAAAAAAAGTGGTCACACGAGAAAAAGGGTGCTCTTGTTTGGTCATTGGCACTTGTCAGATTTCCCGAAAAAGGGAGGGGTATGCTCTTTAGGGTAACAGTGCTTGCTCCGCATTTTATGGTAGATATATTGCCTCAAGCTTTCCAGTCTGTGGGCATAATTGTGGGTGCCATTGTGATGTCCTTAGTTTCGCTCGGCTTTTGCAAGCTACACCTGCCAATTGCAACTTGTTGCATAAATGCAGGCTTCTTGTTTCTCTAGCATAACGTTTCTCAGCATTTTTTCACTGCCAACATAAGTTGCTGGGCTGTGTATACTTATTCCTGGGCCACAAGAAGAGGTCCACTTCCGTAAAAATGTGTATTTCAAGTATCAAAAGTCTAGAGAACAGTGGAAATTTTTCTGTGCACAATTTCGTTGGAACATTTAATATAAGAAGGTATAAGAAGATAAGTTGAAATTTTATGGCTTGTTTTATTATTTTTGATGCAATAATAGTGAGCAATAATAGACAGTGATGCCAAGGAAAGTGTAGGGGCTATTATTTAATAGTAATTATAATGTGAATGGTAAGAAAAATGGCCAAAAATTTAACATGCCGTTGGCAGAGACTGAAACTACGACCTTTGAATAATTTATCCAATCATCTACCAAATGAGATAGAGTGGTGGTCATACCCTTGTCCGCTTTATTGGTTATACGATCATCAGCCTGACTATGATGTGGAATGCGACGTCTGCTGCACCAAAGAAGACATCGACCATCTGATATGCCATTGCCCTCGATTTGCCTCTGAAAGACAGAAGCTTTCGGACGCATTGAGACAATTGGACGATCGGCCACTCTCTGTGCAGATGCTACTGGAACACCGTCATCGCCTTTCGTCGGCTCAAAAAGCAGTCAAAGCTGTCTTGTGCTTTTTGAGGACTACAGGCCTATGTGACCACCTTTAACTTTTGTGTAGTGCCACCGCTGCATACGCGCCAGCCGATTGACTGACAATCCTTTTTTTTCTCTCTCTCTCTCTTTCTCTTCTTTTTCCTCTCTCTCTCATCTTTATGCCCCCTTTCTATTCCCCCAGCGTAGGGCAGCAAACCGGGCATGTGCCTGGTTAACCTCCCTGCCTTCCCTCTTGTTGTTTACCCCCCCCCAGCCTGACTATGCACACTGCAGGGCAAAGGCCTCACCCATGATCCGCCAATCTACCTGGTCTTGTGCTTT